ACTATTGAACAGGTTTGTTTTCTGATTTATTGACCAAATTGTCGCACGCATCGAATAGTTGTAATGCCTTATTGGCAAAAAATGGTTTTCACAGATTTTCAAATATAGTAAAATACTTTAAATTTCGCGTAACCACTACGGGTTCTATATTTGTGATATGCGATTCTAGAGAATTCTGCATTTTTCATAATGTTACGAACGAAGTCTGTTCAGAAAAAAAGACGGAACTGTGTATTTTACTTGTATTTTTCAGAATAATCTAAAAACTGTGTGTGAGTAAACAGAGGAACAAAAAACAATGTTGCGAAAATATTTAGCTAAGATTATATTATGCTATCGCATTCTATTTTGCAACAATTTCATTAATCAGGAATGTTGCTAGCGCTAATATTGGCGAAGCCAGACATGGCACTACCTGTGTAAAAAACTAAAATAATTACTTAACGAACTTTTCCACCATACCTTCGCTAGAAAATGAATTTGCAAAATTATTGAGATTTAATACGCTTTCGGCTACTGATTTTCTGCAGGTAGATCACTGTCATCGATTTGTTATTGGCAAACAATGCTTTGAATCCCTTAGCGAGCTGATTTCCGAGCTGAAATCGCTGCAATGTGGCATGGAAACACTAAGACTGGGAACAGCTGTGTTTCGGACTGACGGTAACAAAAGGACATTGTTAACACCTTAACAGGTTTTGTTTCATATGGCGCTTAACTGTATTAAAACGCAACAAAAATCTCTGCTAATGTGTTACAACTTCTTCAAAGTAAGAAATGTTACCCTTTATTCACGAAAATCTTGACATTTTAATGCAAATAGAGAAAAGGTAAAAGCTTCAAATACGTTATATGAGCACTTCTTCAAATCTTTTCTCTTATCATCTTCTTGTTTACTTGGCTTACAGATATCGGTAGATTTGGAGCGCACTGCATTGTGGAGGAACTTCCTCGTGAAAAGATGAAAACTGTAATTCCTCTGCCCGATATTAAGCAAAAATCTGTCTTGGTTATGCTGAAATCAACAATCGCTCACAGTGGCATCGATGAAGAACTTGAATCGCTAATGCTGCTGAAACACAGGTTTCTCTCTACTTTCTCTCATTCTTTGTCTTAAAGCCATATAAGGTATGCTACAAATTCAGTAACTTAATCGGACTTAAAGATTTTGCCACATATCAAAATGGTCCTGTAATCCTACGCTATGAAATGTATGATTGCACCTCTCTCTACGACATTATGTTGAAGGAGGACGTCATCAGTTTGGCGACTACGCTGAAATGGGTTCAACAGGTGCTTATGAAATAGAGCTATGGCAATCATTCTCACAGTAGCACAGTAGGAAAGCTATGCTTTTAAGCAGACTTTGAGTTAAAGTATGGAAGTAGTAGTAGCAGATTAATGTAAAATGATTGAGTTAGGCTGAACATTATGTACTTCAATAGGTATGAGGCACAGTATTTCTTTAAAAAGTAAAGTTTATTCAAAAACTTCTAACTATGAGTTTACTGCTCCTGACACTGGCGTTATTTCAATCTCTAATTTTTTTCCTTCAAGGAGGTTTTGTGCAAAAGACTTGTGAGACTTAAAAAGACACTTTTCCAAAACTCCTTCTTTAATATTTCTGGCCAAAGTAGTGCTTTTTGCAGCGATTGCTGCTCTCCTTTTGATATTACACATAGGTTAAGTTTGGTCATGCTTCATTGGATAACGGCGTTGATTAACGTATCATTATGTAGTAGTTTTACTTCAAAAAACATTATCATAATAGTTCAATAAGAAAACGTGTTTCAGGCTGCATCTTTGGCATTCTACTTGACTAAAAATGGGTGTTTCAACTCAATATTGTGCGCCCAGGTATGTAAATAGCATTTCATATGCCTTGCCTTTTTATTTCTCTAGAAAATCTAATTCCACTTTTTCAACTTTTTTGCTGCAATTGACACTCACAAGCTAACACTTACAATTTTGCATTACATAGCATACTTTTTGATACACAAGCTCACAACTATTAAAATACTAGATGTCGTTCAGATAAGTTATTAATTGCTGTCTTGATCTTCAGGACTGCTATTTGGACGCGAATCAGAACATAAAGTTTCGTGGAGCTTGGAGTAACTTTTGGCCAAAGTGGCAAGAAGATACCTTACGACATCCGTTCTATTGGAGGTAATTTGATTAAACGTTTGCGTGGGTAGGTGTGTGAATTTAGCTTTGTAAAGAAAAATTGCTGTAGATTATAAAAAATACAAACGTGATAGGAAGTATGCAGCAGAAGAATCTAGCGAGATAAATACTAATAAGTGCTCTAAATGGAAATTGCAGGTTAAAAAACGTATTGTCTCACATAACTCCTATTTATATGAAAGATAGTCTTACAATTTCTGTCAAGTTTTACTCTTAAAACTTATAGAAAGGGCCAACATATTTCTCAACTTAGTGGATGCTTAAAACATGAGTATTTTGTTTTCCTAGTTCATGCCGTGCAAGGACCCTAGGTTATTTATCTATCACTTCAGTTACAATTGGGATTAGTTTTGTAGCTGATCAACTTCCCGAATGTCTACTACAGGCTGATTTAAGGGTTGTGAACAGATGTTTGCGTCTAATTTTAGAAATTTTACATTAAAAGAAGTCTTTAACCCAGGAGGCTTTGACATTATAACCCATCAGAGCGTCGTATGCATATTTCCATAGGGAGAATTGATAATTCACACAGATCACAAAGTATTTATTCTCACATCTTCATCGGAATTCAAATGTCTTTTGCTACTACTCAATAAAAATAACAAAGTTTTTATCATTTTATTTAACGGTAAAGCCATAATAAGGAAGAATCAGGAAAAAATGCAAGTCGCTAACGAAGCAATAGGTTTTTTTTGCAAAACTGTTCTCAGTGCAACTTCCCTACTGTGGTAATACGCGGGGTGTACAAAGTCGTGCTTTTGTTTTGGTAGCAAATTTGGTGTAAGATGTATGACACTATTATTGGCATCGCGCTACCTAACGATAATATCGTGTTCAAAAACTTTAACAGGTTTTTTGAAGAACATCAAGGTCAAGGTGATTCTAATTCTTAGCCGTAACTGCGGTATGAGATAGGCAGAGAATCATTGTGCATCACAGTTAATTGATTCCTTAGTAGACGGATTGCGGAACGCAAGTGCTCAATGATGAAAGAAATAAGTGATAAGAGTTATTCGAAGATCATGTTCGTCCCACGTGCCAAGAAACAGAAGTTGGCCGCTATACAGATATTAAGGAGCGAAAATATGCTATACACAAGGGATGAGCGGAACCAAAACCCCAAAAGGATTGTTACAACAATGATATCTTGGAGATTTTATCAACCAAAGCAATGGCGCACACATACTGATAGACAATCAACTGGCTCAACTATATATACGCTGATTTATGTAAGATTCAGTGCATATAGCAGGACATAAACTGAAAGAAAATGGACTATTCTTGTTAGCTCTATTCTCTCATTGTCACTTCTTAAATGTCAATCTAACTTTGCAAAATAATGAATCTTGCATTGTTAAGAAACGCAACACTACATTAGATGAGAGATGAAAAATTTCGGTTTGATGGTTGCTTCAGTGTGGTCGTTACATCTCCGATCTTAAATAGCAGCTTGCATGAGGACCACATCAACCAGCCACTTAGAAGTAAACCTTAATAGTTGTCTAAGCTTAGGTAATATAATTCCATTGAATATGTAAAATTAGTCCGAATTATGCGGAATGCGGATGAAATTATGCGGATGAGCATACGCTACAACTGAATAAACCTAGAATCGTGGACGTATATTGTTTCTTTTTTGGTGACAAAAATGTTAAAGTTATTGAAAAACTTTAGAAAAACGTAAAACAAGAAGATCTTACTCCCGTCGTTTGAGATACACGAATATGAAACAAGTTGTGGCATCCAAAAAGATTTTTATACAGCTCGAAGTTAGAAAACTATTTCAAAAT